AATAAGATTAAAAGTGCCAATTAATTTCTCTTCACCACGATCTTAATTTACCTAGATTTTCTATGAGACATACACTCAATTTTAAAACCTCTAACTTAAATGCACTCACACACTGACGTGCACACCCTATTAAAAAAGTGTACTATATATTTACTACATAAACTATATTATATATATTACTATGTATGCTCATTTGGTACTAATGTTATGCTCATTTTAAAATGTTATGTCAATGCAAATTGCAAAAGCACTATATCACATTAAGTTTACGTAGGAGTTGATTATAGATACGGGAGCACAAACCATGATACTCAATTTCATTTTTATAATATTCAATAGAGGATGTTTGATGCTCAATAAAAATGTCTTAATGCTCAACTAAAACACTTATGACTTTCATATTAATGCTCATTTTGTAAATTACGTGTGCTCAATTGATACTTCTATTATGTTCATTTTTAAAATGTCATAACAATGCATATTCCAAAAGAATCATATTACATTAGATTCGTATATTGAAATTTATAAGAATTGATTATAGATATAATTTAATGAGTTTTTCTAAAAGGAAAAATAAGAAAAAGAAAGTGAATTACAATATATGAAGTTGATCACAATATTCATTATTCGACTCTTAATGCTCAGTAGAGTACGTCTGATGTTCATTAAAAGTGTGTTAATGATCATCTAATGAAAATCACGATTTTAACTAAAATTACGAAAATGCCACCGTTTTTTAGTTGTGATATCACCTTTCTTGTAATAACACAGTGTTCATTATTAGACGCTTAATACTCATTAAAATTGGACTATTGCTCATTAATAGTACATTAATGCTCATTTAACAGAAATCGCGATTTCACATCAATTACAAAGTGCTCTGTCTACTACACCTAGGCGGACGGCGGCTTCAACTATAGTGGCGATGAAGAGTATGAGGTGGTGGTCGGCACCTAATTGAAGTGACGACAGCAAGGACGACGGCAGCGACGCTCAACGACGACGACAAAGAAGGCTACGACAACAGAAAGGGCTGAGACGGCAGCAAGTTCGGCTGAAATTTTCGCATTGGCTGGTTCAGGAAACCCTGGATTGGTGCTTCTTTAGTTCTTTTTGGTGCTATATATTTATTGAAATAATGACAAAAGTATTTTGGACAAAAATAGAACTAATTATAAGTGAATGGACATATGCACCCCTCATATAATACGGAGTGACTCAAACCTAATCCCCAAATTCCAAATGTTATCGTCTCAATCATCTCACCTCCAGCCGCACATCCATGGCCACCGCATCCGTCGAGCTCTGCGATATTCGAAGCTCCTCCATCGCCGCAGCATCTCCGTCGCTCTGACGCCTCTCATCTTTGCTCAATCTCTGCCTCGAGGAGGTACTGGTGTCTCCGCCGTCATTTACGCCTTCGCCTCCACCGCCATGTTCCACGTCGCCGCCCATTCGTTCTTCTTCACCTTTTCTTATTTTCCGTTCAATCGATTAAGCTTTGAGGAGATCCAGGGGCGAGTTCGAACACTGGAGAATGCCATCGTCGTCCTCATTTCCAGATTTGTGATGAGGTTACCGGCGGCTAGGATTTTGAGGCGATAAGTTGCATTGGGGTGGCGGTGGGCGGCCTATATCCAGATTATATATGGCGGTTGCGGCTAGGGTTGTGATGAGGAAATAGCAGTTCTGGGAGCTGGGTAGGGGGCTGGGGTAGATGGCAGAGGTGGTGTCACCATCGGAGACGACGACCGCAGTGTCGGCGGCAAGGCGGCGGTGTCGACGGCGAGGCAAGGTCGGCTGTGTAATGTGACATGGGAGCGGCTGGGGTGGGCTGGTTAGGAAGGGGTTGACTGGTGGGGCTGGGGGCTGGGGTGGACTGGTGGGGCAGAGGCAGGGGCAGCTATGGGGTGGTCTGATGGGGCAAGGGGCATGGGCGGAATGGGCGGATTGGCGAGGCCGGGGGGCTGGTGGGGCAAGGGGCAAATAGGATATTAGGGTAGGTCAAGGTAGAGGCAGTTATGGGCAGACGGGGCAGCAATGGTCGGAGATAGCGGTAATCTATTGGTCACTGGCGGGCAGTGATGTCACTGTGAGCCGGGTGGTCACGGGAGCCGGATGGTCACTAGAGCTCGGGTGGTTACTGAGGCGGTTGTTATTTGGTGTCTTGGTAACTGTAATATTGGTCACTGCGGGTCGAAGTCACTGTAACTTTGTGGAGGTCAAAGTCACTGTAACTTTGTGGAGGTCGGAGTCACCGTAACCTTGTGCGGATCAGAGTCACTGTAACTTTTTGCGGGTCGAGAGTCTCTTTGGTCACTGCGATAGTAGTAACTGAGACACTATTCACTGAAACAATCGTAACTGGAGAATTGGTCACTGGAATAGTTTATCTTCATAAATAATACTCCGTATTAAAATATTAAAATAATATTATAAACTTATGGAGTCATTGTTACGAATTGCATCAAGAAAATACAGTATTAAATAAATGAAAAACATTAGTTGGGATAGCCTTATAGAGTGCATCGCTAAGGTGTTTTGGATTGCATTCGTAGTTCGTACAGTGTTGATATCTTACCGCGGGGTAAATTAGTAAAGAATTCATTTATTAATCACATTTTTGGAAAATAAGAAAAAGTGTCTCTTTTTTATCCATTACCTACTTTTTGGTAATATTCATGTCAAAAGACTCAAAACCCCATATTTATTTTGTTTGTTTCCTTGCTAAAATCATTGATGCGATTCTATTGATTTATGTATGATAGTGAATATAGCTTTAAATTTATGCCCCGTATAAAATCAATTGCTGACATTAGAAAATACAATTATGGTCGGATAATGAGAATGGTTGGGATTTAATTAAATACGTAATAATAAATGTATAAATGCGGTGATTGTGCTTTTATGCTTTGCTGATCTAAATAGGAGTTTGAAGTCTTGGAGTGCAACAAATCAACAATATTCCAATCATTTACTTGTGGTTCATTTTTTGTAATTGACTTCATTTGCTCAATTCGCTGCCTACTTCACAGATTACCTAATTAGCTGTCTGTTTCATTTGGGTCATGGAGTCCCTATTCCCTAATTTTGATGCCTACTTCAAAGGTAATTTTGGCCCAGGTGCTGATTCTTTTGTTCTATTATATGGAGTACTAGTTACTCTACCCGCGTGGGTTTCACAGGTAAATCACAGGAGTGAAGTGCCTACATAGAAGTTCAATATCTATTTCACTTATATACTAGTACTAGTTTTATAACGCGCTTTGCGCGTTCGTAGTAATGCCCAAGATCATTGTAGGGATATTAATTCCCCGGTTTAGGTTGAGTAACTATCAATTTATCGTTTTACTACTTGAACTTGATTAGTGTATTTTTTTTAGAAGAGTAAGATAAGTGGTAATACGTTTGCATAGCACAATTCTGAATGCATCTCATTAAAAACAAACAAACAAACAAACAAACAAACAAACAAAAACAGAAGGAATCAGATTGGGTCTTTTCTTTTGTTACAGAATAAAATTGAACCATATTTCGATGTTCAAGGGGAGGTGAATGACTACATCTGGAATGGTTGTGCCAGATCAAGAGGATAATGCCTTCAAATGAAAAATGTATTGAATGAGTTTTTTTCCCCATTCGTAAATGGTTTAAATAAAAGAACAGAGAAAAATGTTCGTGTCTTCATCTGCTTTGCTCAATTGTACCGCCGGCATATTTAGTTAAAGAAATCAAACATGTGTGACTGGGTAAAGGATTACACCGTAAGATTTGCCATTAATCTCATACAGTCACACGGAGTAATTAATCCTCGTACTTTAGAACTAAATCCTTGAGACATGAGGAACATGTCTCAAGAACATGGGTTTGTCCGAAGTATATGCTATCCTAGTTTTTACACGCGCTTTGCGCGATTGAGTAGATGCCCGATGAAATTGATATAGAAAATATTAACCAATGAAGTATTCCAAATGTGATTAACAAGCATAAGCTCTCATGAAGAAAGTGATTTCCTTTTTACTTCAATTATTTTCCAGAAAATGTAATATCATCCTTTACTTGAGAAAGTTAGTAGGAGTATTATTTTTAAGGAAAGAAAATGAAAAGCAAAACACCGGTTTAATTAATTGTTTGTTTAGAGAATTTTGATGGAGAGAAGACGGTTAACATTTTTTCTTACACTTAAATTTGTTTTTACATCTAGTATTGTAGCATATGATTTAGATAATTGTATAAATACTTCTAGTCCAAAAGTAACAAAAACAGGCCTAAAAGACATGACAAAACTTCAAAATCAATTTTCCTTTCTTTAATTTTTAATAAACTTTTATTGTAAGTATATATCGGGTAAAATTACCTCTTCCTACCACTTCCAAACAGTAATACCTACAAATAGATTTTGTAACACTTTAGCATGACTTTATTCTCATCAAAGCAACTCGATTCTCATTTTAAAAAATCCCATATTGATCACATTTCATACAAAAATGTACACACTTGCTATTCAGAATAGAGCCAAATGGTTAACATTTATTAACAAGATGGTCAAACAATTAAAAATACAAGTATTGGATCAGTCGACGAATTAGATCAGCACAAGATATCATCACAAGAGGTACAATTTCATGCTATAATTTTATTTAGAATACATGATGAAAGAAGAGATGAATTAACATGTAGCTACTGACTACTTTATTTGAAAACTTAGAAAACATGCAGTCTGATTTTGTTTCAGAAATAGATTCATGACACATGCTACACATTAGTAGTGAAGGAAGCACGCCAAATAGACAAGAACGTCAGAAAAAAATGATAGCACAATTAGCCAAAGTACATCAAGCAAAAGGTAGCAGTTCATGACAGAACACTAACATGCGATCTTATTTGATCTCAGTCGAGCCTTAGGCCCAAGTTTTTTGAGATATTGGTCTATAGTTATCTTAGCTCGGGTTGGGCTTGAGTGAATGACAACCATAACAAAGAACATACGGAGTATATATTAGATATTAGAATCTATTTAATCATATGTCCATCAGGCTCATAATATAGTAACTATTAAAGCCTTTAATAACAAAATACAATCTAACCATTTACATCTCCCATTTTGCTCAACCTGTACCCAAATCTCAATTTCGGATTTGGTTTTTTATTATATTTCGCATTTGTAGTCATTGGTAATGAAGTTTTTTTTGTTAAAAAAACAGAAACCCAAATTTGAATGCAGCTGATTCATTCATCAATGGAAGGTAAACTGAAAACAACACCATCACTGGCACGTGTATGAGGTTAATAATAATTGAAGGTGACCAGCAAGATTTGATGTAATATTTTCTAGAAAAGCAGTCTATAACCAAGACACCTGCTTCAGGCCATCAACTTCCTTTTTTATCTCCTAGTTAAGTCAACTTTTACCGTGCGTAGCAGAGTTAATGTCCTTCAATTTCTTGTAAAAGATATCATACTAAGTTGATGACTAATGTCCACTTTTAAGATATGATTGAAAAAATCCTGCAATTATGGAAAAATACTTATTTAGTAAACTAAGAAAAAACTCAATATTCAAAGTCAATGCCAAAAAGGTAAACAATTGAGTTTTTTGGTCATGTTGAAGAAGGGTATTGAAGTCTAAGGGGAAGAACATATAAAAATGGGATACTTTGTTAAACTATGTGTAATCTGGCTAAAAACAAAAAATGACAACATAGCATAGAGTAGAAATCAGACTGTGGTTTTCAAGTTGGGGTCTCTAAATCAAAAGAATAACACTCAGTAATTGCTTTTGATGCATTCCGTAACTAATGAACTCACAGAGTAGAAAAGCATAGAGTTGGGGCATAATATAAGGTATTTGTTCAGACTGTGGTTTTCAAGTTGGGGTCTCTAATATAAGGTATTTGTTCACAAAACAAATGAACTCACATTTTAATATTCCGTAACTAAATTGTACCACTTTTAGAGATGGGCATACTTTATCTGACTAATTACTATTAGAGCATGACTTAAGAAGTAAGGAATAGGCAAGGCCTTAGATTTTAAGCTTTAGTGAGGGTTTTTTTTGCACCTTGAAGAAGGGGGTTCAAAGATGGAGGCATATGATGCGTGAATGAACATGTTTTTTTCAGCAGGCTCTTTTTATCTAATTAAACTCTAGGGCATGAACCATGGGGCAAGGATTTGGCAAGTTCATAAATTTAAGGTTTATTAGGGAAAATTAAATAAAAGGGCTTGTTAAAAGTCATTGGCAAAAGGTAACACCAATAAGGATGTTGACAAGGGGTCAAGAGATCCGCGAAATAGCAAAATGTTGAAACAAATGGGATACATTCTTGGCTCAAGTTTAAAGAAGGATGCTTCTTTAGGAAGGGCTGAAGTGCTGAACCAAAACAAATACTACTATCAAAGTGTCACTTGACGTTACAAGTTGCTCTGGTATTATGTCGATGGTTTCACTTACAAGAGAATTGGAAGCATTACATTAGTAGTTGAAGTACAACTACATACCTCATTCATTTTTGAAGAAGTATCCGCATCAACAGTCGACATATCCATACAATTCTTTCCACTGCATATTTGCTCAAGAACACTGTTTTTGTCAAAAACCACCTAAGCATTATCAATAAAAGAAATACAACAACAACATCCAAGCCTTAATTCCAAAAGAAAAGAAAAAGAAGCTATATGTTTGTATTATGAAGTTGATCCATACAAACCGAGAGAGCAGCACAGGGGGCAGACAACATTCCAATTAAGAGGCCAAGGAAGAAGAGGAAGGAGAAGGAAGAAATCGTCACTAAAGAGGTTCTTTTCTTAACGTCTACTCTGGTCTCTGCTGTTTTGTATGCAATCATAGAACAGCTCCAATCCTTCTTTTCAGTAACTATGGTCCTGACACTTATTAACCAAACAAATAATGTTTTCCGGTAACACTTTAAAACCTGAACACAACAAAAAAACAAAGAGGGGAAGATGGCAGTAGTTAGGTGTTGACTTACTCCAATCCAGTTAACAATGTCAGTCTGCAGTCCTCCTAAATACAACACATACATACATACATTACATGCAAACAAAACGTTTGGAGGGAAACAAATCCATTGATTTCATATGCACATTTAAGCAAACACATAGATGACACAAATTTAAAGGGGGAAACTACAAAATTGGAAAGGATGGGCTCATCAATTTAAGCCATCCAAACTACTATGGCAAATAATTTTAGGAACACACAACAACATGCGGCATATTGAATATACAAAAAGCTAAAAGAATAAGAACCAGGTACATGTTAAAAAATAAGTGAGTTGAAGCAGACATATTGAACACAGCAATAGTAAAGCTGGGAGGTGGTAGAATTGAATACACAAAAACGTGAAACTCTAACAACAACATTAAAACACATCATGTAAATTAATACGTAGTATGAAAAATGTTGAACTACGTATATATAGATCAAGAAATTAGATCAAGAGGAATTGTTTATTATTAAAATCAAGAGAAAGCTTGAATCGTTTAAATAGAGAAATGAACTTACAAGAATATGTTATTTAAGCAGTGTGAGATCAATTGAACTTACAAGAATATGCTATTTAAGAAAGTGCGTCTGGTTTCAGTCTCCGCCCGGTAGAGCTCCACCGTCACCATCCTCAGTCACTGATGGGGTGCTCCCCTGAACAGGCTACCGGAACCGGTGTGCTGCTCCTGCTTGCCTGCTTGCGATCTTAGTCGCATACAACACTGAAGGCTCTGCCCACTTGCCAAACGTGAAAGCTAGCAAAGACTTTGGCAGAAGTTTGTCATTAGCTAGGTCAAATTGGTTGGAGAAGCTGCCAACAAGGAACAAAAGTCCAATGGCGGAGAAGGTTTTAATTGGCTTGGTAGCACGTATGGAAAGGTTGCGGAGCAGCCGTACAGTCGATCGATACTCTCCATTCTCCAATTTGATATGAGAGACCATTCATCATGTGACGGCGCCGGTAAAATTCAGAGGAAGTTCCGTGAAAACACAAGCTAAAATAAGCTTAAAAGTACAAAAACACATACATGATGTACAAGGATTTATGCAGCAAGGAACACCAACACATTTTATATGACTATTAGACCCTTAACAATATTCGCTCTTATAAGATTGTAGAGATAAAATTACTAAATTAGTCGTGCATACATACACACTCTATTTCGCTTGTATTCGTTGTTTTATAATTATTCTCTTTAATTAGTCTCTCTAAAACATAGCTAAACAACAAAGTCTTAAATTTTGTAAACACCAATAAATGCAAATAAAAAGTTTCAATTTAAAACTATTATAAACACTTGAATCTAAAGTTATTCCAAAATTCAAGAAAAAAGAATCACAATTTCTACTTTTGCAAGCAATCCATTCACCTACGGTGGTGAATATAACATAAGGTGATAAGGATAATAACAGTTACATAAAATATATTCTCAAAAAAGTAGAAATATTTTTTACATTTTACATTGAAAATGCATGGTATCGAAATTCGAAAAAGAGATGCTTTGAAGCCCCACTTCAATTCATACACCTTTCTTGTACCCGGTTATTGTCTTGATCATCTTACAAAATTGCAATGCAACTATACCACGAATGATAAATGATGAATAAGCACAAGTCATTAAATATGTATCAAAGGCATTATCTTAAAAAGTAACATAAACCATGTAGCTATGCAAACATTCCATTAAAACTCTTTGATATTCCATGAAGAGAACGAACTACCTAATTGAACTCCTGCAGTTTCTTCTTAAACGTTTTTCTCAAATATTATATGGGGGAATATAATGAGAGCCTTTGGTTTGCAGGAATAGTCACACTTTTCAAGCTTTAGTTTACTAAGCATACCTATAAAATACATGTTTTATATTTTTTGTAGAGATAACTCAAGAAAATAAAGCATGTTTAGAAGAACATAGTTATTGATAAATAGTAAGGGCTTGTTTGCAAACTATTATTTTAAGTGCTTTTGGCTTTTTTTTAAGAAAAAAGCACTTATTTTACCAAACAATACCAACTTTTACTTTCTCGGTTTTCGTGTAGAATCTACTTTTTACTTTTTCTATTATACAAAAAGCACTTATTTTACCAAACACTACCAACTTTTACTACTAATCACTTTTTCCCAAAAAGTACTTTTGTTTAAGCACAAGTGGTTGCAAACAGAGCCCAAGTAAAAACTACTACTACGGTATATGATTTAATGGTGATACTTCATGAGGAGTAGAGGTTCCATCACATATGAAGGCCACATAAATGAGAATGGTCATTACTTTTAAAACTATGTATACAAAATCTTTTTCCGTGCTAGTGAGTAGTGAGTCTAGTGACCTATTTTAGAAGTAGATTGTATTTTTTCAACAATAAGGATAGTCAATTGCGATTTATTTTTAGAAAGAAAAAAATGAAAATAAGTAAATTTATATATGATGGTACACTAACTACATACAATTTTTCAAAATGTATGGGTGCATCATACGTGATCAAACATTGCTAGACAATGGGCTAAATGAGTGGTTAAGATTTTGTACACAGTTGTGGGTGTGAAAAGGAGGAAATGCTTGTGTACCATAACGGTAAAGTACTAATACTGACTACATTTGAAGTAAATGTTTCCAAGTGAAAAATAGAGACCAAGAATTACTGAGGGTACATAGCATACTATTTGATTTTTTTGACTTGGTTGAATAGAATATAAGTGAAGTTTACTACTATTGTTTTAATTTCTTTTCTCATAATTGCTGATCATTAAGAAAAGAAGGTAGTAAGTGTTCTTCCCATAATGGATTCTTGTTATCAAAATTATTTACTAATATCCGTTTTCTTAGGACCTCTATTGATAATATTTTTTAAGAGAATATGTTGTTTTGAAAACTATTAGGCTATGGATTAAGACACCATTGGCTCTCAAAGAAGAATCATAGTATTGCTTCCCTTTCTCAAAGTGCTGCAATGAAAAAATAAGTACACAGTAATGTTTTTACAAAAGACAACAGAAAGAAGGGAAGAGCAAAAGCTTAATAGTACAAAGCTCAATACGTATTTTTATAGTTATATACTCCCTCCGTCCCGTAATTAAGTTCCTACTTTCCTTTTTGGGATGTTCCATATTAAAGTTCCTACTTCAAACGTTTCCTTATTTGGCAAATGATTTACACCAAAACAGTATCAAAACAGTGCCAAATAGTATCAAAAGTGTCAAACAGTGTTAAAACAGTGCACTCCACAGTAAAGTCAATTTTACTTTCTTATTACGTGGGAAGTCAAACCAAGAACTTAATTAAGAACCGGAAGGAGTACTCAATTACTCCGTATATCAAAGCTCAAAGCTCAGTTATGTCTTAGAATATAATCTTTCAGAAGGTCTATAGTAGTCAGGGCAGAAAAGGTGTGCCCAAAAGAAAATAGATGAAAGCATACATTCTTGATATTGGTGGGAGACTTCAAACTTTCAGGACAATAATGGTAAAAGTATACACACACAAACACACTTTTGACATTTCGTTTTACCGTGCCTTCTTCATTGTTGGTAGGAAAATATATATAAGAAGATCAAATTAGAGAACAAATTTATCATTAATAATAAATAGATGTAGTTGATTGATCCAAATATAATTTAGACCTATTCATCTCTATTCACAGCAGAAGATAGAAAATGATGAAAAACAAAATTAGTGAAGTGGAATAACCTAATGACTAATTAAGTGCAAATAAAATTCAAATACAGGATTCTAGTTTAAACTAAATGATATTCATATTTAAAGCTTTGAAACAAGCAAAAAGCCATTAATAGATGCATATGGGTGTCAACAATGATTCACAAACGGCATACTCAAATTGGTTTCTTTCAAAGGTGTATCAGTCTAAAACAAATAAACTAAAGGAATCCAAGATAAATATCATAGAGCATGTTCAATAAAATTGAAACAAAAGTTATTCAGAAAAAAGTTCCTAATCAAATCTATGAGGAAAAAACCATAGATTAATCAATCAATTCCAAATCATCACTTAATAAACTAATATTCCGAAAAATCGACTATTTTAAACCAGAACTGAAAAGATATTAAATCAGAAATAACTTATTACATCTTATACTATACTTCAGGAATCAATCAAAGAAATCAACACTGAAAGGGGTACGAATCGACATGAACTTGTGTAGCACTGGCATAGGGAGAGTCTCCGGCTCGACTTCGTGAATTGTGTGAAAGAGATCTTCACCGGAGCTTGCCTTCCTCCACAACAAGTCAAAACCGGCCTTCTGGTTGTGTTTATCAAAGGCATTATTTTCGTCCAAGGTCCTTTCTTTTTTATCATTTTTGGAAATTTGAGTTCTCCTTTTGCTGCTAGCCTGCTATATATTGTTATTAAAGTTTATCTTTGCTAATTTTCTTTCATAGTCGTTTTTTTATTCCCCACAGATATGTTAATTAGTGTGCTCATTATTATGTTCTTAATTATTTGGGAACTAATGAACTATTCTGTTTTTTTATAGTTGAATACTTCAATGTGCCCATAATATTGGAACACTTCTGTTTTTTGTAGTTATAAATTAAAATTAAGTGCGAATGTAATTTGAAAAGTAGTGCGGATATGATTTTGAATTCCATCTTCACAAACTAGTTGATCTCTCTTGCAGATTATGTGGTTGGAGGAAGTAAAATTGTTTCAGGCTTTCAGCCAACTCATGCAATTCTTCCAGGTTCATATGGGATCATTATATTACAATCCATATGTTAATGCTTAATTAAGTACCGAGTAGCTAATTAAAGAATGTTAATAGTTAGTTAATTTTGTTGATTATTGATTTATTAAAGAGTGTCAATTGTTAATTTAATTTGTTTTTAATAAACTATGTGTTTAGTATATTTCAGGGTTGGATTTGAAGCTGAGAGTGAAGAAATATGAATTGATGATACGTGGAAGGTTAAGGGAGTGTTTGCGATTGTTTCAAGTTTAAAAAAGTGATTTTTTAAAGTGATTTTGGGAAAAATGATTAATAGTAAAAGTTGGTAGTGTTTGAGAAAAAAGTGATTCTGAAAAAGTAAAAGTTGGTAGTGTTTGGTAAAATAAGTACTTTTTGTGTAATAGAAAAAGTGAGAAGCAGTTTAAAGCACCCTTCTAACTGCTTCCAGCTTTTAGCTTTTAAGTGATTAATTTAAGCAGAAACTATCATTTGAAAACACTTTTTTCAACTTTTTTAAGCCAAAAAAGCGCTTTTTTTAATCAACCCCAAACACTCCTTAATAAATGGGTAGTTGCTGAACATGGTAATTAGTTATTCCGGATAGGTGTCTCAGTTGATTTAATAAATGACACTTTTGTACTTGTGATGTATCTTAGTTGTTACTTAGGGGGGTTGAAACTGATTCTGCTTCTGCTTCTTTTTTAAAAGCAGGGCCAGAATCAGAATCAGTTTTCAGAAGCTGGTACCTCTCAGCTTCTAAAAAACTGATTAGAGTAAATTAGAGCTCCAGAAGTGCTTCTGGAATTTTACCCAAACACTCCAGCTCCTGCTTCTGCTCCCTGAAGGAGCAGAATCAGTTTTGAGAATCAGATCCAAACACTCCTTAGATTGGTAACTTTGTCAAAAGGTCTGTATTAATTCAAACTTACGTTTTGATGTATCAATGACTTTTCAATTGAAAATCATGATTCCGTTGTGATATGTGCTGTAGATTGTATGGGTTTTTTGTTCTAGTAATAACAACAGGTGAAAATAATATTTTTTTAAAATAAATTATAAAAATTAAAAAATGCGGCGGTTCTTTTTTAATAACTGCCGCGCATTTTAATTTTTTATTTTTAAATTGAAATTGGCGGCGGTTTTTACACTAATAACTGCCACCTATGATATTTCGCAATTATAGAATCCGCGGCGGTTCTTATAGTAATAACCACCGCATTTTATTTAATTTTCTATTTTTTTATTACTTACATATGCGGCGTTTTTATTCCCAAAAACCGCCGCAAATGGACGTTCCAATTTTCTACTAGTGTACAACTGTACATATGGATATTATATGGTGTATTGGTCTAATTATCCAAGCTGTAGTTTCTAAAGATAAAAGGTCTGAAACTGTAAAGCCACAGGAAAGCAGTAAAGGCATGAATTGCCTTTAAAATCCCTAAATTATTGAGTTCAAATCAATCCCTAAGCTACTACTTCGTACTACATATTTAAATTTTATAGGGCAATAATGATTTGACATGTTGTATGTATCAGATGACAATTGATAAATACATGAAATAATTAATTTGATGGCATTAGTATTAGTAAAGTAGTTATTTTATTTGATTTGTCATTGTATTTAGAAGATTTAGCTTTTTATGTTTGTTGATTTCTTTGTGATTTTTATATATGTTTGCATTTAAAAACTTATCCTTTTGAATATTAAAAACATTTTATTGTGCACTTAAATTATGTTTTTTATATACTACGTAGTATTTTATTCAATTTTATCTCATTTTTAATACTTCGTATGATTTGTTCATAGTAAATATTTTTTGTCTAGAACCTCCGAAATGCTAAAGACGCCACAGATACATATATATTACTGCATACATATACTATATTTATTATATATTTATAATACTATAGTACTATATTACTACATATACTTTATTATATATTATTACGTATACATAGTGGCCGATTTATGTTTCATGTTTTGGGTGTTCATTTTTTTTGTAGAATTAAAATTTGAAAGGACAAAAAATAATTAAATTGAATTTATACATATATGCTAGTATGTTTTTCAAAATATTAGGTGTTCAATTGAACACTTTTGCATCATAGTGGCTCCGCCACTGCGTATACACCGTATTATTAGTCCTATATTTTAATGGAGAATGGCGCATGCAGTTATTAACGCTCCGTATGGAGAATGGAGCAAGCGGGTGTTCACGTTTAATTACTGGTATGCCTATAAAATTGGAAGACAAGTCTAAAAGTTTCGCAAATAATCTTTAAATAATTCAGATTTAAAATTTGATACCAGATTTGTTCATCAAATAATCCTAACATTTAAACTATAATCTTAAAAAAATATCATTCACATCATCAAAATAATCCGGGAAAAGTACGGAAAATGTACTTGTGGTTGGGCCCGTTTTCAGATAGGGTCATGGGTTTCATTCTTTATCAAAGTGGTTCATGTGTTTGAATTCCGTTATCACAAGAGGGTCACGCCGTTAAAAACGTCTGGAAAAGACCGTTAAAAGTAACTCCAATTTTCAAAAGTGCTCGGAAAATTAAAAGAAAAATACCGAAAGGTGCGCCTCGTCAAGATGACCTCCAAACTACCTCCGCCTTTTGATTTTTCAGATATGTTTGAATTATTTTTGAAAAATGATTTCGTTAATATCACTTTTTCGGTGGACTTTCCGGTGACAAGGGTGGCTGAAAACAAAAAAGATAGATGGCCTAGCGGTCATCTTATTGAGGCGCATCTTCCGGTATTCTTCTTTTAGTTTTTCGGGCACTTTTGAAAATCGGAGTTACTTTTAATGGTCTTTTTCAGACGTAATTCAAACACATGAACCACTTTGATAAAGAATGAAACACATGACCCTATCTGAAAACGGACTTAACCACAAGTACCTTTTCCGTACTTTTCCCAAATAATCTCTAAGGGAGGTGTATTGAATATGGATCGTGGTAGACTTTTTTTAAACCATGAACTTTTAAAAAAGTCCATGGATTTTAAATTAATTCTATTGACTTTTAAATTTATGGATAAATTTATAGACTTTTAAAAAGTTCATAGACTTTTAAATCCGGACTGTCTCTGCCGGTCGTCAGAATTTTCACCTAGATCGCCGCTACCGATTTGCCTGCCTGCCTTGGTCACCGGAGTTTGCCGCCATCGTCATCAGATTGATCCGCCACCAACAAAATGACCTTGGTTATGCAATGAAAATATGGGCAATTAATTATATTAATTAATTAAATTAGGGGTGGAAATGTACGTAGTAATAATTAGTCCTATTTAAGAAAAATCAAACATATATACTTTGGGACAAATTATATGTTTTAGTCCTACCGTGAGTAATTTCCTACGTGTAATATGATAAAAATTTAAATATATAAATAATTGAAACAAATGTAATTCATCCAGCAGTGCAGAGTTCTACAAGAATAAATGAAGCATAAGAATTTCAAATTTATTTTTATTCAAAAAAAACTTAAAGTTTTGAGAATGCTCAACAATCTCGATCTATGTACAATCAATTGTTTTATTACACAACTCAATGAGTAAGAACATTGATCATTACACAAGCGTTACACTCATTGCTATATATGGTACAAGCATAGGTCAATCGAGCTTTTCTCCTTATTAGTTGTTTTTCTTTCACTTTTAGCTTGTTAAATTTTTTATACTTATTTACGGTTAAAGATTTAGTAATTTGAAATTATATTTTTATGTGCTAGCGGTTCAACGATGAAACACATTATAAACTTGCACCGTTGAAATTCTTATGTAATAGTTAAAAAAAATCTTGCTGATTAACTGACAACTTACCAAAATTGCACCGAAGTAATACTATCGATTCTTCTAAAAACTTCTAGAACCGAATCGATGTGGGATTAACGGTTCTTCAAATGCTTCCTACCTTTCTTTTAAAACTGAACAGATCTCACCCCCGTATTTTTCTTCGTAAGACGACATATAAAATATCACTTTTTAGAAAAAAAAATTCAAAAAATAAGTTTATCTTGTGTATCAGTATTAATGTAGAATCTCCTACTTCAACTTTATTTATCGTAAACTGATAGAAAAAAAATCAAAATTTAATGTTCAAATCTTGCATAGTGAGGCTTGTTGGACGGTTTGTGATCCCGGATAAATAATTAGTCAAATATGCAATCAGATGTATGCGTAGTTGTGACGAGTAGAAGAAAACTAGAAAAGTCCACGAAAATCTTTGGTGAAGAGAATAGACAATTGCATATAATTAATGTACTAAGAATAAGTTAAAAGTCCACGAGAATCCATGATTTTAAAATTCAATAAGAATGAACGGAAATTTGAATACGTATGAACGTCTAGACTTTTATAGACGTATCTATTTATTTGGCTCGTTTTCATTTTTACGTAGTTTAAGACAATTACTATAGATTATATGTAAAGTAAGAGATTTTTGATACTGTAGCGGTACTGTATCAATATTGTAACTACCTTTTGATTGAGTTTCTTTGCAAAAAGGAATGAGTCAATTAATTTGATACGTTCCAAAAAGGAAAGTGAGACAAGTAAATAGATACGGAGTGAGACAAGTCAATTATTCGTTGCCCACAATTTCAAATTGGTCCCAAAACTGTAAATAACTCCCGATCTATGCCCGTTCTCTTAAAAACCCTGCTCCTCTAGCTACCTATATAGCGACCTCTTGTTTTATCACATTTCAATTCAAAAAACCTAAACGTCAAACCCTCCGCCATTGTCCCCTTCTATTCAACAGTGGGCTTATATACACTTCATTCAGTCATTCCTCCCTTTTTCAGTATACTCCATACTATTCTCTATTTGTATCTTCGGATTCAGCCTATCGAAGATGTCGCTGAGGCCGAACACGAGAGTTGAGGATCGCCGGAACCGGTACAAGGTTGCCGTGGACGCGGAGGAGGGTCGCCGGAGGAGAGAGGACACCATGGTAGAGATTCGCAAGAATCGAAGGGAGGAGTCATTGCAGAAGAAGCGGCGTGAAGGGCTTCAAGCAAATCAGCAATTTGATCTTCCTGCCCATTCCGAAAAGAAGGTAGATTGAAAACAACCTTTATTCTCAGTAGAAGATATGGATTTGGTTACTGCATTGCTGCTTTCGTTGCATACTACTACTAATTTTTGTTGTATGCTTCTTAATTATTTAAATTGCACTGTGCATTAGATGTGCTTTACAAATTTGTTGTGGTTGCAAAACTCTTGAAATGTATTGATTTTGCAGCTGGATGCTCTACCCGCAATGGTAGCTAAATAGATGAAAGCATACATTCTTGATATTGGTGGGAGACTTCAAACTTTGGTAGGAAAATAATGGTAAAAGTATACACACACAAACACACTTTTGACATTTCGTTTTACCGTGCCTTCTTCATTGTTGGTAGCAGGGATGGATTTAGGGGGGGGCGCGGGGGGGGCGACCGCCCCCCTTGGACTTTTAAAATTTTCTACCATATATGTAATATTTTCATAAAACTTTCATAATTTAATTAGATTCGCCCCCCTTATCTTTTAATTTTCAAAATTAATATATAGTGTTACATAATGTAATACTTAATTGAAGATTTAAAAAAAGGAACATCTAAAATAATTACATAACTTAAACAAATAAACAATAGAATAACGCGTTGTTTAAGATTTAGTATACTTATTATATAAGAATTCCTAGTTTTGTAGTGTTTAATTATCTTTATTAGATAACAAGTACTTGATTTTGTAAAATATACTCCGTATATTATACAGTTTTTAGATCACGTGAAATGAATCCAAAATATAAATGTTTATTGACATTAAATTACATAATTCATTTACTTCTTGCTTTCTAAAAATAATTTATTGCATAGATAATAAACTTTAAATTATTATAGCATTAATACAAATATTAAAATATATTATGCACCATATATGTGTGTGTATGTGGTGCATATTATTCTAAAAATAATAATATCATACATACTACTATTGTAATATTAAGAAAACTTCTCATGAGTCATGACTCACGAACACCCTCTTTGGTGGCCGGACAAAAATTACAATTCAATAATAACTGATTCATGAGGTTAAACAATGTAGAAGTTATTAAAAATGTCTTGGTTGATGTCTTTGTCATCGTCTAATTTAAACTTAGAATGTACTACTTAATAGATTTAAATGTCATTGGGGATGTGTATGTATTAATGTCATTTTTTGAATAAAATTAGCCGCATAGCCCTACAGTAGCGGAAAAAATTCGCCCCGCTACACTAGGGAAAAAATTTCGCCCCACTACACTAACGAAATTTTTTTCACCCCCTACACTACCGAAAAATTTCGCCCCCCTTGAATAGAAATCCTGGATCCGTCCCTGGTTGGTAGGAAAATATAAGAAGATCAAATTAGAGAACAAATTTATCATTAATAATAAATAGATGTAGTTGAGTGATCCAAATATAATTTAAACCTATTCATCTCTATTCACAGCAGAAGATAGAAAATGATGAAAAACAAAATTAGTGAAGTACGTGGAATAACCTAATGACTAATTAAGTGCAAATAAAATTCAAATACAGGATTCTAGTTTAAACTAAATGATATTCATATTTAAAGCTTTGAAACAAGCAAAAAGCCATTAATAGATGCATATGGGTGTCAACAATGATTCACAAACGGCATACTCAAATTGGTTTCTTTCAAAGGTGTATCAGTCTAAAACAAATAAAGTAAAGGAATCCAAGATAAATATCATAGAGCATGTTCAATAAAATTGAAACAAAAGTTATTCAGAAAAAAGTTCCTAATCAAATCTATGAGGAAAAAACCATAGATTAATCAATCAATTCCAAATCATCACTTAATAAACTAATATTCCGAAAAATCAACTATTTTAAACCAGAACTGAAAAGATACTTCAGGAATCAATCAAAGAAATCAACACTGAAAGGGGTACGAATCGACATGAACTTGTGTAGCACTGGCATAGGGAGAGTCTCCGGCTCGACTTCGTGAATTGTGTGAAAGAGATCTTCACCGGAGCTTGTGTTCCTCCACAACAAGTCAAAACCGGTCTTCTGGTTGTGTTTATCAAAGGCATTATTTTCGTCCAAGGTCCTTTCTTTTTTTTCATTTTTGGAAATTTGAGTTCTCCTTTTGCTGCTAGCCTGCTATCAGGGCCGTCTAATGAATTTGGAGGCCCTGGTTCAAAATCTAAAATCGGGCCCCCATATTAATATAAAAGAATTTAAAAAAATCTCAATCCAAATAGTTATACTCAAATTAATGGAATACTCATTAAAAAAGAACTAAAAGAGTAAAAGGAACAACGAAAAAATGATGTATCTATATTTGTTTTTTTCACTAGCCAGTTAAGTGTATTTTATTGATTAGTATTAATATATAATATATTACTATATAATACTAATAAATTTTTTAAAATATGGGGCCCCTTAAATCTGGGGCCCTGTTCTGGATAATCTATTCAACCCCCTAAAAAACGGCCCTGCCTGCTATTGTTATTAAAGTTTATCTTTTCTATAATGTTCTTTCATAGTCGTTTTTTATTCCCCACAGATATGTTAATTAGTGTGCTCATTATTATGTTCTTAATTATTTGGGACCTAATGAACTATTCTGTTTTTTTTTTTATAGTTGAATACTTCAATGTGCCCATAATATTGGAACACTTCTGTTTTTTGTAGTTATAAATTAAAATTAAGTGCCAATGTAATTTGAAAAGTATCGCGGATATGATTTTGAATTCCATCTTCACAAACTAGTTGATCTCTCTTGCAGATTATGTGGTTGGAGGAAGTAAAATTGTTTCAGGCTTTCAGCCAACTTATGCAATTCTTCCAGGTTCATATGGGATCATTATATCACAATCCATATGTTAATGCTTAATTAAGTACCGAGTAGCTAATTAAAGAATGTTAATAGTTAGTTAATTTTGTTGATTATTGATTTATTAAAGAGTGTCAATTGTTAATTTAATTTGTTTTTAATAAACTATGTGTTTAGTATATTTCAGGGTTGGATTTGAAGCTGAGAGTGAAGAAATATGAATTGATGATACCTGGAAGGTTAATAAATGGGTAGTTGCTGAACATGGTAATTAGTTATTCCGGATAGGTGTCTCAGTTGATTTAATAAATGACACTTTTGTACTTGTGATGCATCTTAGTTGTTACTTAGGGGGTTTGAAACTTATTCTGCTTCTGCTTCTTTTTTAAAAGCAGGGACAGAATCAGAATCAGTTTTCAAACACTTCAGCTCACTACAAGAAATGTTACATTTGGTGACACACATTTTTATTGACACAAACAAAAGTGTCACAATAGCTTGTATATGTTGACACTTTAATGTGACAAGAAAAATATTAGATTTTTTATTGAGTTTATACGGAGTATAATAATTCAAACATACACATGTTTAAACTTTCATCACTAAACCAAAGAAGTACTTCGTCGTTTTTTTTAGAAAATATATACTAATTTAGTTTTGCTGACACTTAAAAAAATTAATGAAAGCCAAAATAAAGTTACTGAATACTGGGATCTGGGTCGTTAGGACTCAAACCAACATTTGAAATACGAAGTATAATTTTAAAAACCAAAATTCAAAGCTGGCCCAGGAATTTGGCCTCCTCACTTAAGGTTGGTCGGCCGTCCTTTTGCAAATCCACTAATTAGGTTTAGCGGTACCATAGCGCTCAACAGATCGAAGAGATCGTTCAGAATCCTATGCTCATCGGAAAGAGACGGGTTCGTCATGGAGATGTTATAGCTGAACCAAACAAAATCCCTGGGAGAAATTTCTGAAAGAGACGCTCATCAGAAAGAGACTGCTAGGATCTTTTCTCTTTTCAATATCCATTAGACTGGTAATGCTTTTGCTTTTTATGGATTGGTTAACCTGTATTTGATCTAATGTCCGTTAGAGTACGTGGTTTGTTCATTTCTTAGTATTGATTTAATATTTGATCCTCTGCTAGAGTTAATTCATGCCTCCTTAATTATATTGATCCAGCACAATGAAAAGGCTTTCTACTTTTCATTGATTTGTATCCCCGGTGAGTGATTGTATACATAAATTATAAAATTTGTAATATAGATCGTGAGTAGAGTGAGTTGAGATCAATTCTGTTACCCCATAATTCTTAGTTTATACGTGAGTTAAGATCAATTCTGTTACCCCACAATTTTGATTTTATAAATTTAATTAAGAAAATCAAATCATATTTATGTTATATGTCTATACCTTTATATATAAAGTTAGTAATAGTGATTGATTTCTATACTATATACTTTGGTGAACTTAGTGAGCTTGATCTATCACTGATTCAATACTAACACTACATAGTTCTAATTGTGTTATATATTAACTTTTGATTTTTCGTAATTGAACATTAGGGTTCTATTTGATACACCACTGAAATTTCAGGCCATGAAATCAATTTTATATACAAAGTCTTACATTAATCGATCTAATTAGCAAAATTGAATTGCATTTATTCTTTGTAATTATACCTTACACAGAAGTAATTGATTTGTATATCTCTTGCTCAATATGGCCTGATGAACAAAGACAATCTCTAATATTGTAGTTCCATTAAAATTAGTTGTTTATTTGTTTTGATAGCCTTTTCATTGCTTTAAGTATATTTACTAGATTTATTCATGTGTGTCAAAATAATTGATAAATTGTTTAGACTCCTATCTTATTCATGCACCCTAACTATTGATTTGTGACCATTTTGGGTTATACAGAATTTCATTAGAGTTTGTATCTAAACTTATGCAATTACTATTTAGTGTTTATGTCCCATAATAAAGGAATTGCAAAAAAAGTTTGAGGTCCTACAAAAAAACATGGCATTTGGGAGCTAAAGAGTGACACAAAAATAGCGGTAACCTTTAACGAAATGGTGCAGCCAATTGGAGAAGAAGGAAGTGAACTAACTCAATTTTTGGGTACCATGGTAAAAATGTCAAGTCGATCATGTTGGGATAAATTTTGATGATTGGAGAGATGTTGCTGATACAACAAAGGAAACCTTATGGAGCA